ATTCATGAAAATGCTTCAAAAGTTACTAAATTATTTTTGCATTACCACTACTTCATGTCATGTCCTATGTGATATTAATAAAGTGTTTTGTATTACAAATTGATTATTTTTAGGATTATCCTCTAGCAACTGAACTGTTTTCTCTAATTGTATGACATAAATCTTAGGTTAACTTTTGCAATCTTCTAAAGTTTAAGTAGCATCAGAGAAATCTAGCTCCTTCTCCTCCTACAGAACTGGAGATTGAACCCTGGGAGTGCTGGGCTACATCCCCATCCCTTTTTTTAGCCCAAGTTGACCTTGAATTCGAACCCTCTGCCTCAGACTCCCAAGTAGTGAGATTATGCACCTCCATGTCTGGCCTTTTGGCTTAATAAAGGCCTAACTTTTAATAGTCAAGTAAAAAATTAAATATTAAAAAATCCGACATTATAATTTTCATTTTGATGAGGTAAATGTTGATATGTTTCCAATTTCAAAAGACAGCCAAGAAGACCCAGTGGAAAAAAGTCTCCATACCTTGTCTTCTTGTTTCTCAGATATCCTCCCCACAGACAAACAAAGCCTAGCTTTTTTTGTTTTTAAAACAGGGCCTGCACTTGGGAGGCTGAAGCAGGAGAACTGTAAGTCTGAGTCCAGCCTGGGCAACTTAGTGAAAACTTGTCTCAAAATACAAAGGGCTGGGAATGTGCCAGCGTACAAACCCTGAGTTCAATCCCCAGTACCAAAACAACAACAAAAATTACGGTCTGCCTTCATTGTCCAGGCTATCCTTAAACTCCTGGGCTCAAGTGATTCTCAACCTTAGCCTCCCACATACCTGGGACTACAGGCATGCCCCACCTAGCTTCAATATACCTAGCTTCAATACTTTTTTTTAAATCTCCAGCTACCTCAGTTTACCAAATGAGTCACATCCATCTATATCTGATGTTAACTTTCATATTTTCAACAACCATCCTTCAAAACTGCAAAATAACTCAAAAGAGACAACTCTTTCCATATCTACTTCAAAAGCAAACTTCAAGACTTTTAATGGGGGAATCAGCCCGCTGCAGACAGGCAGATCTGTGCATGCCCTACCGAGGCCCTGAATCACGCGGAAGACACCGAATCACCCCACTGCAGACAGGCAGCCACCTGATTCCACATTACCAAGGCGCAGAGGACACCAGACCACCAGACCAAGG